GTGAGCCTGAGTTTCTCACAGAGTCTTATCTCTCTCTGGTGGAGAGAATAGAATGTTCACTGATCTTCATAGCCAGATGTTATGTGAGCTCCTCTTAGGTGGTGTTCGGGGCTGGGGAACCCAGCATTGGGTTGAGACCCCATGTTCCTCTTTGGGGACCTTTGAAACTGAGATATCCCTTCAGATTTTGAACCACTGTGTGTGGGTGTGGGGCCAGCCCTTGTCTTCGCCCTTCCTTCAAGTCTCGGTGTGGCCTCTTCTGTAGATCTTTGGTCATAAGACATGTTCAACTTGCCTTCAGTTGGCTTTTCAGGTTGATTGTTGTATAACTTAGTTGCAACTCCAGTTTGGACCTGGGAGGAGGTGATGTAGCTTCCACCTACCCTCCTGCCCTCTTGGGTCTCCTTCCCCTTTTCTATCATTCATGTGGAGAGTGGATGGAAAGGTTCCTAGCCTACTACACAGACACAGATGACTATGATTACACGACATGATTTGGGATGGAAGCGAGGGTTCTGGAAGGATCTCTCTAGTGCTTTAGAGGAATGGTAAATGTCACTGATCAAGTTGGCATGGCAGAGTCCATTGGGAACATCAGACGAGTGAGGTTTTGCTGAACACACACAAGTCCTTGTTCTGGAAACAGGCTTCCCTGGGCTCCCATGTGCCATGTTGTATGTCAGCGGGATGGAAGTGGCCCCGGGCAGGGCACGAAATTGCTCCCTAGGCTGTGGTTCACTCCGGACTCTGGCTTCCCCCAAAGCAGCAGACCGCCCAGGCTTCAGGCCCACTGGCCCAGCTGTGGGGTGACAGGGGCAGGAAGGACCAGTGTCCTGGTCCTGACTAGGGACTGGCTGGATTTACATCAGTGGTGTCTCGTCTCCCAGAACTCCGGGCAGACCCTGGGCACTGTGGCGTCTCTGAGCTGTGGTCACCTCTACATTTATTCCTCCTTTTCCTTCCCTCCCTACTCCCTTCTCTGGCCCACTCCAGGAGTACAAGTCTTCCTCCCCTTCCTTTTTTTTTTTTTTCTCTGATTAATTCTCAGTTCTTTCATTCTCTAGAACAGTGGCTTCCAAACTTTCATGATATGCACCTCTAAGTCACAAAGAATGGACATGTACTCTAATTAATACTCACTTATGTGTTTATAAATTACATGCAGATAATGGTCTACAATGTGTTCATTATAAAACATGTACAAAATGCATTTAAAGAAGGTAAGATAAAGTTAATTTTAGTGTGAGAAATAATGATTGAACATACTTCTAAGAAACATATGTATATGTAATATGTATGAACTACATACAAGACATATATATATACACACATACATATGGATGTATGTATGTTTTGAAGATGTATGCAAAACTCAAAAGAATAGAGACCATTGAGGAAGAAGGAGAGAGATTCAATAGGGGAGAAATAGAGAAATTTGAAGGAGAGATTCAATAGGGTAGAAATTTGGTGTTGGATAAATGAGCATTTGTCTTTATCTAGCCATCTGTCTATTTATCATCTATCTCCTGTGTATATAAAATATTATAAAATAAAACATTAAAATTCCACATATTTGGAAATAGAACACACATGCCCACCCTTGAGTCAGAGAAGGGATGAGCACCCAAAGCCCTCACCTCGCCCACCAGGAATGTGCGGAGTTGTAGGAATGTCTCCTGGAGCCTGGAGGAATGTATACTCAGATTTGTAGAGAAAGTTGAAATGTGACACTGGGAGCTTGAGGTCACGGCTGAAGCCTGACTTTCAACTAGAATAATCTAAAGAAGAAGCTGCTGGAGCCCCCACCCAGCACTGGAGGGTCGTGAAGCGGCGGACATTCCAGGAGGTTGCGCTGTGAACCTGGTAGCTGAGGGCATCATGGTAGGAGGCTTGAAGAGGTAACACTCGAACTTGGAGGACGAAGTGAATGAGAAGTGGGACCAGGGTCCTGGGGGTGGAATGAACTCAATCACATCATGGAAATCCTTCTGGGATCCTAAAACTTTGATGGGGGTAAGCTGCTCCCTCCACATCTCAGCCTCAGTGGGCTGGATCCCTGTATACGTGTGTGTGTGTGTGTGTGTGTGTGTGTGTGTGTGTGTGTGTGTGTGTGTGTTGGTGGGAGCTTTCAGCAGTGACTGTGGCTTCCTGCCCTCCTTTTCGGGGTTCCATAAACTCCTGCAGTGTGTGTGTCTGCTCCAAACACCTGAGTAGACTTGCTGGGAGTCTGATTTCCCACCTCCGCATTTCCTCCGCCTTCCCCTCCCCTTCCTCCTTCCCTTGTGACCACTGGGGCCTCGTGGAAGATAAGCTGGGCCTGTAAGAGGAGGGCAGGGATGTGCTGCCTGGTTGCTAAGGAAACCCAGGCTCTATCTTTTGTACCTGTGAGGAGTAGGAGGGGCTGGCTTCCTCCCCACAGGCAGACCCCGCCTCCTTGGCAGGATCTGAGCCCCAGCAGGCTCCTGATTTATAACCAGGCCGGACCACATGCATTAGGGTAGAAACCAAACTGCTCCATGACGCATTATGTAAAAGGTGGGCTGTGTGGTGGCTTTGGTGGGGGGGTTGTAATCACTATTTTTCATACAGTATGTTTGAAAAGAAGCAGAAGCCAGCTGAAGATGCCCACTGCTTTTTGGAGCCTGCCAGGGCTCAGGTACCAAGTTGTGCAGGCTAGGTGGGTGCTGCCAGGGGAGCCAGGCTTGAGATGTTTTGTAAGGGCCAGCCCCCCAAAAACTGCTGCTAAGCAAAGGGACCCCAACAGTAAGAGAGCATATGAAGAAATGGAGGGGGGGCTTTCAGATGCAGAGAGGCAATGAATGAATTGCCCACTTTAAGAAATGGTGCAGAAGGGGTCCACAAAGAACCCCCAAAGAATCTCACAATGCCAGACTTCAATAGCACCCACTAAGTAATGTCTTCTTGCACCTCTTCTCCCCTGTCCAGCCTCAGCTATGGAGTGAAGGAGAGCAGAAGTGAGAGGTGAAGACACAGGGATGATCTGAGCAGGCACGTGCATGCGCGCACACGCACACACTCACGCACGCACGCACACATGCACACACACACGCACGCACACGCACACTAGGGAACCAGAGGTAGAACAGAAGAAAGGATGTCATTCAGATTGAGGTTTTGCCTTGAATTTGGACTGGGCTTTTTACAACCAGGAATGAGACAGGGCTAATGCCTAAAAGTGACAGAGGCTCACTGGAGATGCAGACCAGCAGGAGACCCCAGGGAGCAGATCTGCCGGGCAGTGGTCGAAGAGGAAGGACATTACTTCCTGGTGACACTCTTCTTCCTTTGGCCCCCAGGGAGCCCTGGGCCACCGAGTGCCGGGAGCAGGGAAAGAGGAACACCCGGCGGTCATCCTCTGTGCAGCAGGCTTCCCATCCCCAGCAATCTGTCCTGATACTGGTTTCCCAAACCCTAACAAAGGCTTTTTGAAAATATTCCAAGGGCATTTGTTGGCAAAGAATTAATTTTATTCCATCCTGAAACTGTCTTCTGAGTATTATTTCCATCATTTTTAATATAGACAGAGGAATACACAATCTTCTGATATGATTATTAAGTATCAGAGGAGGCTTCTAAATATTTATCGTTACATTTGGAGAAGTTTTTCCAGTACTTAGTGTGTTGCTGAGAAAAAAAAACCGGTTTGTCTTCACTGTCCACGCAGGGTCCTGAAATGCCGCAATCGGGGTTCTTCCTATTAACAGCTGATAGCTCACAATACAATGTACAGTTAGGATGAGGTTCACCTTAATGCACGTAAATTTAAGGCTCAATCATTTCTAGGTTTTTACAGACTTCTTGTCAGATCGGACTCGCTGGTCATTGCGTTTCCTAGCGATGTACTGTTGAAGAGTTCCCACGAATCGAAGTGGCCACTGTCTGCTCATGAGCCTGTGATCATGTATGACCATCGTGTTCAGTTTCCCGGCAGGAGTCACGTGGGCAGCCGTCTGTCTGTGATATTTGATAGTACAGTCTGCAAGCCCCTGCCTGGGCACACGTAACTGCAGCACACTGCAGGCGGCCGGCGGCCGGGTGCGGGCTCCCCGCCCCTGTGCGCACTGTGGGGCTCCCGCTCTCCCTCAGGACAGTGTCAGGCCTCAAGTGACACATGCCCGCAAATGGGCCAGGTGGGGGCACCCATGCCAAGGCATGTACAGGCACCCCTCGGAGAGTTTGTGGGTTCAGTTCCAACCATTGCAATAGAGTATCAAAATAAAGCGAGACATAGTTTTGCTGGTGAAGGTCTTGCCTTCAGTTTGTAAAAAACACACCTGTGAAGTACAAAAAAATGCAGCATAATAGGACGAGGTGGGCCTCCATTAAATATTTTTAAAGCTCTTTTTTTTTTTTCCTTCCCCTAAATGTATCTTTTAAAATGTCAATAGAATTTTTGATGTGTTCTTCCTGAACCCCTTTCAAAACCTAAGTCTATTGGTTGGTGTTATGGAAACCATTCCCACATCCGGGGTTCTGCAAATCTCCTTTCCTGGGGCTGGATCCTGTCCCCAAATCCTCAAGCCCTGAGGTAGGTCCCAACATATGGCATGAATCCCTGCGTAGTGGCTGTATGACTTCAGGTTACTGTCCCTTTCTGCAGGGACAGTAAGGCGTTGGCGCTCACCTGTCAGTGCGGGGTGCTCACTGCCAGAACCTAAGCACCTGGGTCTCCTCTAGGCCCCGTCACACCTGTCACCTGAGGCAGCAGATCTATGACAGCACATGCTCCTGAAACGCCCTGTGGTAGCAGAGATGAGACTGACACGGTTTCCCCTGGTAGGTGAGAAAGTCCACGAGGACCAGTCCCCGTCGGCCTTGTCCTGTGCCGTCCCCAGCGTTAGCCCAGAGCCGGCGGCGAGCAGGCTTCGGGTTTGCCGAGCGGTGGGTGGGTGGGTAGGTGATGACCACAGTGATGGACGAATGAATGAGGTAAAAGGAATAAACGGGACAGCAGCTACAGGCCGCCAGGTGGTAAGTACCTGCATCCCCTTTGTCCCCCTTGGCTCCATCTCGTCCATCTCTTCCAGGCAAACCATTGTGACCAGGATTCCCAGGGACACCAGGGTGCCCTTGCCTGCACGTGTCCTGTGAGTTCACGCCCCCTGTGCAGACTCCTGTGGCAAGCAGGAGCCACCAGACCCTCATGGTGCAGATGACAGAGCTGCACTGAAAGAGGGAGACACAGATCAAAAGAAGAAACGTTTGTCTCTGGGACCCTGACACAGCCTGTGTTCCTTGCCGTGGGAAAGGGGCCCAGCCCTGGTGCGACCTGGACAGAACGGTCAGGGCAGGGCAGGGCAGAGGCTAGTAGCAGGGCAAGCCGCTTACAACCAGAAGGACCTTGTCCTTGGGAAGGACGCACGTGATCAGGACCACTTTTAATGGCGCCATCCAAGAGGAAGCCAGGTTCCAAGTCAGGACACCTCCATTTCCCGTTTCACTTTGGGCGAACCACTCTGGAGCCACAGAAGATGTAACGCTTACTTATCCCACAGAGCTGCCATAAAAACCAAATTTGATCACCATGTGCGCGAAAGCAAACACAGAACCAGCATCGGACCCAGCAACGCAGCCCCGCTTCTGGGTGTACGCGCCAAAGGCGTGCAAGCAGGGTCTCCAGCAGCTCGTTCTGCACCCACGCTCCCGTTCGCCCTTCGTTACTCACGACAGTCTAAGCTGGAAGCCACCCGAGCGTCTACCGACGGACAGATGTATAAACAAAGTATGGTAGAGCCATGCTGTGGAATATTATTTGGCCTTGAAGAGGAAGGAAGTTCTGACACATGCTACACCGTGGATAAAGCCTGAAGACATTATGCTCCCTTACACAACAGCGTGAATGTACTTAATGCCCCTGCACTGTACGCTGAAGAGTGACTAAGACGGTAAGTTGTATGTGTACTTCATCACTATAAAAATTTAATGTAGCTGAAAAGCATGAACGTGTTCCAAGTGGTCCTCCTACGATAGACAATAGGTTTGTGCGTGGGGCCACTGTGGAAAGGGCACACGCCCCACACCCCGGGGCACACAGTTTGGGAAGTACACCTTCACATCACCCCTTCAAGTTACTGATTTGTTCCCATCAGAGGCTGAGACAACGCTGGTGGTGAGGTGGCGGCTGAGATCTGAAGCGATGTTCTGGACAAAGAGAACAACACAGGCAGGACTTGGATGAACACTCGGGCTGTGTGGGACCCATCTGACCAGGTCCCTCTCCCTGGAAGGGCACCCCGTTCCCCTCTCATAGCACCACGCTAGGGGTCTCACTTGTTTATGTCATTGTGTAACAAACAATCTGGTCCCCATCTGACTGTATTTTCCTCATTCTTGTATTCCCAGTACTCCGTGTTAGTCCGGGATGGCAGCATGAACAAGTCTGTGTTGAGTGGAATGAACGCGTCACGGTCGACGTCTAGGTATAAGAGTAGTAATCCGAGGCCAGTGCCGACGGTGAGAGCCATCCCCGGGCCGACGGCGCCGGACGTCCGCGCAGCCCCGAGAACGTTCAAGGGAAAGGACAGCAGCACCCAGGACCCAGCCGTCTCATCCCCCAAATTCTTCTCAATAACCCGACGTTCGTGCGGCAAAGATACTACCTCCAGCATTGCCCGAAATAGTGAAAAAGTGTGCACCACGTCATGTGTAACAACTGGTGGTTCAGAAAGTAGAATGTGTAGACACTGAGCTAACTATGAAGGTCATGTCGAAATATGTGAAAGGTGTCTGTTGTGTTGCGTTGGATTTCGTAGTAGACTAAAATGCCACGCACCTCATGAGCGCCCATGGTGCACTTATATGTGCATGTGTAAGCCGGGCACAGAGACCCAGAGAACATGGGTGCTTTGGAATGGTGAGATTACGGTTTTTATTTCCTTTTGAAAAAATGCCTTTTTTTTTTTTTTTTTTTTACAGCGTCTATAAACACATTTCTAGATATCTATTTTAAAACCAGATAGACTCTGTCATGCAAAAAGTTCTATCACCATCTTATGGGAGCCTCTCAATGTCACGGGGCTTGAGCCAAATAGAGTATTTTTGGAAAAGGAAAATGCAGATGTTTCCCTTTGAAGTCACAAACGCAGGCCCCTTCCGGAAATTGAGTCGCATTTTCTTGGAGTCAGTTTCCATAAACAAGTGGCACCAACCCCTTGGGTTTGTGCTCAGATCCAAACTGCATGGATCCACCCCTGTGAAGGGGTCTATATTTTTTCCTTTTTAATTTTTTTCAGAATGTGTTACAATTGCGCCAATAATTTAAAGCTTACAAGACAATAGAGGTGTCAAATTGAGATACGCTCCATTTTGCTCTCCAGCTAGAGAAGAGCTAAGATAAAAGCAACCTTTCTGCTTATCAAATTCTTTCGCTGGTTCCTTGCCTACTTGGTAGAGGCAGAAATTGTAGCGGCTTATCCCTCATGCCTAGCCTGTAGACGACCGGCAGCAACCGGTTTTGAATACTTGCCTATACTTGGCTCCCAAATCGGCAGTGAAATAAGTCGTGGCACTACCCCTAATAAGAAAACGTAGGGTTTGCACAAGGCATGCGGTAGAATTTGTACTAATGTATTACTTAAAAAAACAAACAACAACAATTACATGCGTGCTCTCACAAAGCCATGGGTTGGATCCTGTTTCATGAGTTCAACTGGATTCCCACCCTTGACTTACATTGTCTGGTGTCTCTACAAAATGCATTCGAGATAAGACCACTGTCTGACTCTCCCCAACCCCGAACCCTTGTCATCAGGAGCCCTGCCCCCTCCACCCATCTGTCTGCTCCTCCCCCAGCATCTATACTAAGGGTCCCTATCAGGCACCAAACGAGGTTATAGCTTTTTGATGACAGTGACTGTGTCTTTCAACTTTCTTTTTTCAGTACATCACAGTCAAATATTTGTTGAATGATTGAATGAATAAATGAATGCGTGGAAGGCAGGAAGGTTGGTTGTCCTGGTTTTAACTGTGCATGGATCATCCCTTGAGGAGGTGACTGGCTATTAAATCTAATTCTGTGGATGCTTCTGGTGAGGTTTGCTAGTTTCTCCCAAACCCCTTCTCCCTTTCCCACATGGTGACAGAAATTTTAGCTGACACGTGGCTGCCCACAATAAAATCCATTTCCCAGCCTCCCTTGCAGCCTGGATATTACTATGAAACTCGATTTTGGCCAGTGAGCAACATGAATGTGTGTAACTTTTGGGCCTTAAATGGACCCTCCCTCCTTCCTGTGGCTGAACTGTGCAGGGGATGGTGACCACTTTGGACTCCTCAAAAGAGAGCAAGAAAAATCCTGGAGACAGAAAAATCCTGGTCTCTGATGACGCCCCCGACCAGACCTGTCCCGCTAGCTCATCTTTGACACGAGAGAGAAATATACGGTTAACGTAACTCAGCTACTGTTATGTGGGGTCTTTCACACACAGCTACGCCTACATCTTAACTCCTGCAAGGCTCCCGCCGCGGAAGGCGTGGTCACCCATCGAAGTGAGGAAGGCTTGTGGACCCTGGAGTCAGCCCGATCGTCAGAGTATATACCCTCAGGTGACATATTAAAAACCAACAACCATCCCTGCCTTGAACAGATCAATACAATCAATGTGGGAGCACAGAGAGACTGGGGAGCCGCTGTGCGCTCACAGCCCTGACATTCCCATGTGGTCAGGGGCTCAGGGACAGACAACAGATGACTCTGGAGTTACCGTTTTTTAGTCCCAAATAAAAGAGGTTCTTACTTAGTTAATTTCTTATTTCTGGGTGACCTATACTTCTCGTTCACTACTGAATTTCTTGATAAAAGGCTACCCTATTCCCCAAGGATGACGCCCCTGATTCATTGCTAACATTAAGGGTTTCCGTTCGTCAAGATCCTTACTTCCCCGAACCCTAAGATTTCACAAAGACGGGCCAGCACCATGCGGAGCAATCTTTATGGTCTCCAAACCTCTGAGCCTCTGCTTCTTTATGCAGGGGACGCACGAATCCCCAAATATCCCTCCCCGATCTGGCAGCTTGAGAATCTAAAAATCTCTAAATTGCCTTCATTGAATACATTTTCTTCCATGTGCTTTATATGTTATACCCTTAGGTATTCCTTCTTCAACATATGCTGAGGAGCTTAAAAAACCCACTCCATTGTAAATTAGTATAGCCATAAATAGAAAACCATACACATGAACATTTGTGCAAGATAATCTACGCGCTTCTATAGAAAGCATTGGTCATGGTGTGCCTGTTCTCCGGTGGCACGCCTCCTCCCAGCCGATCCGCAGAGTTCTGGCAGGAGAATTTCAAAATCTGCGTTTATCTTCCTCACAAGTGAAGTTTGGAACCGGCTGACTCCTTTCCTACCCACAACTCTGTAGACATCTGCTTACTTTGCAAACAACTGAGCAGGATGGTCCCATGCTAACAAAAACGGAACAGTTTTAGGACTCTGTTGTCTTAAATTGAATTTAAAGAGATCATTTCCTAAGGCACTTACCTGCCCCCCAGGGCTGCCAGCTGCACCCAGGTGCTGAGCAAACCAGGACTCAAGGCAAACTAAATAAAATCACGTCCTCCTGACATGCAAGTCCCTCCTGGATGTATCTGCAAAACAGCAGGAAGGGGCGGGGACAGAGGCACCAATGTCTTGGAAGAGTGTTGGAAGAGTGTCAAACTGTCAGGTAGCATCCTCCCCCCACTCCACTGAGTGCAGAAAACTTAGCTCCCTTCCCCCCGTCCCTTCTAATGAAACAAGAGAGAGGGGTCATGGTCAATGCAGTCTGGAGGAAATCCCCAAAGCAGGTTTCTTTCCTTAAAGTGATGTTGGTGCCTTTGCTTGAGCAGCCGTTCCGCTGACCTCGGGTCATTTCTGGGGCAAGAGGACAAAACTGAAAACACTGTGCCTGGTCCCACTGGGAATCCAGAACTTAGAGCTGGTATCATTCAGCTAGATCTTTACATCTTTCAAATCGGTGGCATTCCTTTAATTTAGGCATTTGTGTACATAAGGATTCAATGCCCATTGCCTTCTCCCTCCCCCACTCCCTTACACACACGCGCACACACACGACCTGCCTGTCACTGAGAAAAATATGGTGAAACGTTTGGGTACCATGTACTACTGAACCAGTGTCTACTGACATTGACCTTGAATCTAAAAATGGCATCAAGGGGACAACTGTACTCAACACTGTTTCTCAGAGGTGCCGAGAACTGAGCTGGGTCACGGGGTATGCGGACGTCGGGCAAGTCCCACGTAAAACTGAGGCACCACCACCTCTACTCTCACTATTCCTCAGTTTCCTCATCTGTACAGTGGGCAAACAAGGCCCAGCCCTAGGGCAGTGGCAGGAATTAGGTCAGCAAATGAAGCCAGTTTCTCCTCCACCACCCACAGCTGCCGTGCCCTCCGGATCCCTAAGTCCACCCAGGCGGCTTCAGTCCTTTCTTGTTGGAGCGACAGCAGCCTGTGCCCAGCTACGGTTCCTCCCACTCTGCTTTCAGCCCCGCCCCCGCCGCCAGGCCCCGTCTCCCCCAGGCTTCTTCCCCTTTCTCCCCCTGCCCGGGCATCCTTCCGGGGCTCCTCCTGCTGCCCAGCTCAGCTCAGCGCCACTCCCACGGTTCAGCTGCCATTGGCGGCGCCTCGACCAATCTCCACGGCCAGCCCTGACCTCCCCTCTGTCCACCTTACTACCCACTGGGCAGACCCAGCACGAACCCAAGCCAGGAACTCCTCCCCACCCCTCCATGCAGGATTATGTATCTGACTATGGCGCTAGCACCCGCCGGTCACCCCAAGGTTGAACTTGGAGTCTGTCATCTCCCAGCATCCGGTGGCCGACGGAGCCCTGCTGTTACCGCTGAGTTTCTTGCACATCCAGCCGCCTCTGCTTGCCCGGGTCTCCTCCCTGGACACTGCCTCCTAAATCACTCCCTGCCTCGGGGTTCAATCCACCCTTTTCTCTGCCCCTGGAATGAGCTCCTCGCAAATCTGGCCAGAGTTCCTTGCCTTCAAGCCTCTGCCTGCAGAATGAAACCCCAGCGCCTCATCCCGGTCCGCAGGTCTCGTGCACCCAGCTTCCAACACTGGTCATCACCGCGGCCAGCGACACACCTGGCCCTGCGGACGGGTCAGCACTCCTGGTCCTGCTGGGCCCTGGCCTCCTGTGCTGCCTCCCTACCCTGACACCAGAGGAAGGGCCGGCATCTCCTGAAGTACAAGTTTGTAACTTGTGCACACCCTGCTGTGGTACAATTCACACTCGGTGTTGGCTGTACCTTGCACTTGTCTTCCCTCTTCGACCACAAGCTCCGATGGAGGAGTCATACATTTCGCTGTTCTTTCCAGGACACAGGGGTGGTGGCTGGTGTCACCACCCACAACTCTTCCAGAATGGCCATAGCCCTCTGTTTCCCTCCTGCTTGTCTGTGGGGCCAACCCGAGTCCCCAGAGCCAGCCTTTGAGGCAGACCCTGGTCCCCAGGCTCTCCCTCTCCCTCCCAGGCCTGCGCCCCAGTCACCGCCCTCTCAGCCCAGCCCCAGGGGAAACCAGTCTGGGAAGCAGGTGGCTGCTAGAGTCACCAAGTGGGAACTGCCTGGCAACCTTCACAGGAATCCTTTTCTGATTAGTCTCAGCAAACAATGGGCTATTTACTAGCTCTTCTGGGCTGTAAATTAAAGGAGGAAATGGTTATCTACCCCACCCCAGGGGTAAGCGGCCTGGGCCGGAGCTGATCTCGGAAGGCCGGCCTTTCCCTGGCCAGCCGCAGGGAAATGAAAGGTGTTCTGCTCACTGACCTCCACCATCAGCGCCATCGCTGCTGCTACGAAACAGGACTCCTCAGTGCAGGTTTGGGCTTTATCGGTCTTATTCCCATGTTTTTCCAAGTCAAGTGGTCCCTTTCTGCTTCCCTCAAACCTTCTTCCTCCCATCTGTCCAGCGGTTTGATCCAGCTCCTTAATGGACAGACTATTGCTGAAGCCTATCGACGTCCAGGCCAGAAATGAGCTGTGAACCCCACGAACCCTCCTGACATTCTCTGTTAAGAAATAAAATCTTGCCCTGGCCGGTTTGGCTCCGCGGTGAGAGCGTCGGCCTTCGGTCCAGAGAGACCCGGGTTCGGTTCCCGCTAAAGGCACGTACTTCGGTTGCAGTTTGTCCCCGGCCCTGGTTGGTCGTGCGGGTGGCAGCCACTCGATGTGTCCCTTCATGTCGATGTTTCTCTCTCTCTCTCCCTTCCTCTCTCTCCCTCCCACTCTATCTGTACAAAATATGGAAAAATATCCTCAGGTGAGGATAAAAAAAGAAAAGAAATAAAATCTTGCCCTGGCCGGTTTGGCTCCGCGGTGAGAGCGTCGGCCTTCGGTCCAGAGAGACCCGGGTTTGGTTCCCGCTAAGGGCAGTTTGTCCCCGGCCCTGGTTGGGTCATGTGGGTGGCAACCACTCGATGTGTCCCTTTCACGTCAATGTTTCTCTCTCTCTCTCTCTTCCTCCCACTCTATCTGAACAAAAAATGGAAAAATGTCCTCGGGTGAGGATAAAAAAAAGAAAATAAATAAATAAAATCTTACTCAAATGCATCAGTAGAACCAGTTTGGCAAATTAATTTTAATATATAGATACAAAACAACAAATGTACATTCACAGCATTTACAAGAAATCATTCAAATAAGATTGTAAATAATTTTTTTTTTCTTTTTTACAAAAACTTCATTCAACAAAAATACATATCAAGTTACAGCGATGACACACCTTCCAGCTGCCACAGCCAAGTCGTCAGTCTGGAAGTCGTCACAAAGTATACAGGTAACATCATCTTGGTACTGGGGAGTTAAAACGACAAGGTCACCCAAAGCCTCGCCAAGTCGGTAAGTCAAACAGGAACCATGCGGATATTTACAAAAATGACCAGTTATGAACTCACAGACTCAGCTGAAGTGTTTTCTAAATACAAACGCTGATGTCTATGGAATAACTAAAGGCAACAGTTACGTGTGGTCTAGCTAAGTATATTGGCATCAAACATTTAAGCTTTGGGGCTTTTCGAGACCAATAGCTTTTCCTTTTTTATTTGTTTTGTAACCTTTTGAATTCTGCTTCCACTACACCCATCCCGAGAGCAGCAGTCGCCAAGTGACATTTTAACAGAGGGAACAATGTGTCGGCTAAACTCATTACCGGGACAACGGTTTTTGTGCTGCAGCCTTGAACGGACACACGTCCCCACGCCGCTGGCTGTCCTGTGAGGGACACAGCTGTTTCTCTCCTCAGCAATTTCCCCCCGGGCGCCAGGGAACAGGCTGCTCTACTTTGGCCAAGTACGCTGGTTTGTCTGAGGAGCATCAGTAGTTTGGGCACGTAAAGATGTCCACCTGGTAAAATGCGGCAGCCCGTGGCTTTCACAAAGACTTTCTATTGCGGATCCGCTTTTCAATGAACACGTTTGCTCTGCATCTCGACCGCAAAATGCAAGATGGACGCGGGCTTTCTGAACAGGCACGGGGTTCGTCCCCATCTGGATGAGGTATCCAAAGACACACCACCATTCAGACACGGCAGGGGGAGGGGAGTGAGATGTTCCCAACTACAAAGTCAGATCCACCGAGAACAAGCGAGGCAGATGGTCCCACCACAGCCCTGCCAAGCGGCTGTGTCCAGTTAGCAGGCCGAAGAGGAAGAACGCTGTCTCTCCAGGGTTTTACAAAGATTCTGCCCCGTGACTGCCAAGGCGGCCCTACATTCTAGGTGTAATCACTACTGAGAAGGGGTCTCTTGACCCAAGGTCACTGCCAATGTCTTTCAACAGAGTCGGCAAATTCTGAAATATGAGTAACATTGTAAGTGAAATTCATCAAAACTCTGTATCACCTTTTTCGGGGGGGGAGGGGGTCACCATATTATGCAATGTCGGGTTAAAAAGAGAAAGACAGAGAAAGCGAGATTCCTAATGAAATTCATACCTAATCTGTCTAGAAGGCTCTTTGTTTTTTCCCTACTTTCTGAGAAGAAGGAAACTTGGCAGATCAAAGTTAGAATCCTTGAGCCATTCTTTACAGAACTCAGGCATTTGGTACAACCACCGAAGCTGGACACACAAACTTAAAGGACGTTCTAGCCTTTTAAATCTATGTTAGCAGTTTTCATAATCACCAGGGTCCACCCAGAACGGGTATTTGATCAGGTGATTCTCGCGGTACTGAGGTGCAGGGGCAGCCCGGGCCCTACATGCCGTCCCCTCCGAGCTTCCTGCTGCTGCTAGGAGCCCAGGGAATGCCAGGGGGGGACCACGTCAGGACTCACCTGGGAAATAAATCAGGACCCCTCACAGAGCCGAAAGCATTTCTTCATTGCTCGTTAATAAATATCAGTACATGGAAGCCCTCTGAGTGGTTCTTCACTTTGCTGAATCCTCACAGGAAATATAACCTAAGCTAAGAATTCTCTTTGCTTCCTTAACGTAATTCACTTACATTAAAAAACAAAACACACAACCAACTGTTCTAAACGGCTGTATATACAATCAACTCTATTTAGCACAGAGACCCCTACAGTTATGGCTGAGGGGTCGGTCCACGAAAAGCATATTTAGTATAGTTTACAAAATATATCATTTTTGTTAGTAAAAATGTCAGTTATATAAATGCAACTAACACTGAGATGCCTACTCAAACACGAAGCACAGGTGCGCTCCTGCACACGGGACAGCCCTCCCAGACGCTCCCCCGGAAGCAGCCTCTGTCCTGGGGCTCGGGCGGCAGTGCAGAGGGGCCGGGTGGCTGGCCCGGGGCAGCAGGACCTGCAGCGGTACCGCCTGGAAGTGAGCGCAGGCAGATGCGGGGCGGGCTCGAGAACAGGCAGGATTTTCGGGCAAACTTTCCCATAGCGCTGCTCTAAGCCTCAGCCGAGGGGTCCAGGATCAGGTCTTCTTGTGGCAGGACATCTTCAGGAACAGCTCCAGGTGGGGGGCGGGGGGCGGGGGGAGGAACCACACACCCAGAGACTCAGTTTCCGCCTCTGTGCTGGACAGTACAGGTTTATTCTCAAGCATGGGTCTAGTAGAAAATGGACTTCCCGAGAGTAGCATACAAAAAAGATTTTCAAATAGAAAACCACACATTGTGTCATACAGCACAACCCCCGTCGAGTGCACTAATTACAACGGCCTCTCTTGCAGAGCCTGTCTTCTCCAGACATATGGAAAAGCTATTTGCATCAGCATTAACAGGACAGACAAACTCGGGGAGAAAACTGTTGTAGGTGTCAGCCCAGGGCCCTGGTTAACAAGGCTGCGGCCGCCGAGCCTGGACCTGCTGTGTTAAGGTCTCCGGTATAAAGAGCGACTCTTCGGAAACCCGTCGCCGTGCTAGCAAGGCCGTTACCACCCGCCTGGGTTCCCGCAGGCAGGGGCCCCCTTCCCAGCAGCTGGACTGCTGGGAGCTCTGCTTCCCCAGGAGAGGGCGCGGGACTGTAGACTGGTGGCGGCCCCAGGAACAATGAACTGAATGAGAATGCCCTTCAATCAGTGCATTCGCATTCACTTCATCGTGAAAGTATGAACGGGTTTTCACAGGGCAAACGGAGGGGCTGGAATAGAGATTTTAGGTCATAACGTGCCAGCACCCGGTTCCTGCTCATGGGGTCACGGGGTCACCCACTGCCTGAGAAGGACGATCCAGCCGCCCTAGGACTGCGCCCCCCAAGCAGCCGCACCTGTAGAAGCCCGAGGGCCCTCGGCACTGCACACCTCCCTGCCTGCTTCCCCTCCGGCCTGCACGGGAGGGGCCTGGGGGGTGCAGCCTGCACTACCTTTCGGTTCAGATGACACCAGGGGACACGTCCGCACTAGGTCCCCTAACACTGTGGAAGACAAGACCAGCTTACCTATGCCAGTGACAGGCAGTATCGTCCCAGCCCCAGGACGACCGTCCCCACCCCGGGATGACCGTCCCCTTCAGAACCAAGGCCAGTGCGCCAAGCCCTCGTCCTTCCCCACAGCACCTGGGGCCTGGGCTGCAGCGCCAGCGTGGTCGTCAGCCGGGCTGCAGGGGCCGCTGCTCAGCCGCTGGAGCACGACACCAGCTCCTCGGCCTCGGCCACCTTGGCACAGGTCACTGAAGGCCCCTGCGTGCGTGAAGCATCGTCGCCTTCTCCCCATTCCGAGGAGGCACATGCACCTCCGAGACCGAAGGCAAGTCCAGGGCCTTCTCCTCTGTGTTCGTCCCCAGAAGCAGTTTGCAGCCCTGGGTCCAGCAGACTGTCCTTGGGTGGAGCCGGGGGGGACAGAGGTCCTCTCCGGACCCTCCGCCGAGCGCGGCCCCGGCTCACTTCTTGAACGGGGTGAGCTTGTGGAAGGTGTGCCAGAAGAGCGAGGGCTTCCTCTTGGGCTCTGCCAGCGCGAAGACCTGCTGCCGCGGGACGCTGGTGGGCACGGTGACGTGGCGCTGCTGGAGCGGGGGCAAGCCCTGGTGCGGCGGGGCCACGGGGCAGCCACTGCAGCCTAACTCGAGAGAGGAGGGGGGCGACACAGGGACGCAGGGTCACTTTAACAGAAAGGAAGGGAACGATGCCGAGACTCGAGGTTCTTGGCTGGGTCTCAGGGAACCGAAAGTACATCTGACAGCTACGGTGACACGTTCAGGCACGTGGAGACTGACACAGGCCATCCCGCCGAGTCCTCCCAGGAAGGTACCATTACGGCATGTGACAGGGAGGGGCACCACACCGGAGAGGATGCGTGATCACCTGTGGTCACGCAGCAGCAAGTGGCAGGATTGCACCCGGACTGCTATTCGGATGAGAAGCAGCGACAGACGGCAGGGCCCAAGCCCTGCTCTGACACCTACTAGCTGTGGTTTCTGGGAAACCAGCTGCTCCCTCTGAGTCTCAGTTCCCTAACTCTAATGCGGGATGACAGTGGGTTATGAGAATTAGATGAGTGAATTCAAGTAACGTGCCTGGAAGTGACCCAGATACCTAATCAGTTTAACGACAATGATTCTATTAGAGTCGGCATTTTAAACTTGTGCAGAGGTTATTCAAAAGGCTTATTAAAATGAGCTACAAAACCACACATAACTGTGAAAATCAGCATGCTGAGAAGAAAGGGCGGGGGTTGGAAGGAGCCAGGACCTCAGCCCAGGATCCATCCCTGCCTCGGCCTTGCCTAAGGTTTCCCTGGTCTCCCAGGACGACAGGGAGGACGGAGTAAGATGGCCCGGGCAAGCGCCCGACAGGTGATCATCGTGCTGTTCTTGGGGGCCTGGCTGCTAAGCCTAGTGGCTCTTGGAAGATACAAAAACAAATACATTCTAACTAACTGACATTTACTAATCACCTGCCATTGAAAGTGGAGACATAAAAAAGAATAATAATAATATACAGCTCTGGCCGGTTTGGCTCAGCGGTTAGAGCGTTGGCCTGCGGTCCTGAGAGACCCGGGGGTTCGGTTCCCGCCAAGGGCATGCACCTCGGTTGCAGTTTGTCCCCGGCCCTGGTTGGTTGTGCGGGTGGCAGCCACTCGATGTGTCCCTGTCATGTCGATGTTTCTCTCTCTCTCTCCCTCTCTCTCCCTCCCACTCTATCTGAACAAAAAGTGGAAAAATGTCCTCGGGTGAGGATAAGAAAAAAAAAAACAGTGGGCTTTTCGGCCTCGAACGTATTTATAACATGGCAGGGAGGAGGGGCGAGCCCGCACGTGGAGGCGGGAACGGGAAACGCTGAGTGCTCTCTTGGTAATGGCGTGTCCTTGGCCCGGCAGCTGACGGCCTGTCGCAGTCCTAGGCTTACCTGATCCTGCTTTTGCATTTGCAGTTGGGAAAACAGTGAACGGTATTAATTTCACGGGGTAAATCCCTCTTGGAGTCGATCTGAATTAAGTTTATAAAATGGAACATTTTTGGAATAACGATCTTCAGTACTTCTGGGGCTCGAATAGCATCACCGGCCTTGTCCTTCAGCACCCTGGGAAGACGCCCTGGGTGCTGGCACCCTCACAGCTGCCGGCCACCCTGCGGGGCCCGGGGTAGAGGTGCCCTGCTATACGTGAGCTGTGTGCCCCCTTTTTCCTCAGCTCATCGCGTGATGTACAGAACTTTCAGACTGTTTAATTAAACTAGAATGTCGTCCGCAGGGGACACTCGGCCAGGGTTGGACAGTTCCTCCTCACGTGCCCCCAAGATGCAGGAATGGTCGGTCTGCCTCAGGCTCTGGCTGACCTGACACCACGACCGGCCCCTCGGGAGGGGAGGCCCAGAGGGCTGTGGGCAGGACAGGGAGGTCTGGATGCTCTTGGCTACCGAGTCAAATACCCCTTAGAGACTCATGTGCAAATGGAAGCAAAACCTGAGGCCCGTTCAAAACCGAATGCTCATCACGGTAAAACACCCCGGTGCTTTGGATCCCGCCTCTCCTTCTCTCAGGGCTGGTCATCTGCTAACAACTTCGAGCCTTTCCCCGCTTTTAACCCCAACGCAGATGCACAGGCACGGAGGCTTCTGCAGAACTCACCTTTTGACTTTCCATGTCCTGCCTTCTGAGCATTTAACATGGCGAGCTTCTTCTGATTTTCAGAAATCTCCATGCCTGGAGTTAGAAGCAAAGGCAACATGTATTCAAAACACGTGAAAGCATTTTAGAATAAAATGTGCACCATAACCCACGTCATCCCTGAGGTATTCACCACACCCGGAAGCAGAGGAGGAAGGAGTGGGGGTTGTCCCTGGGATGGCCACAGCGTCGTTCTCTGAACCAGGCACAGGGAAGCTGAACGGGGTGCTGTTGGTGAGGACGCACAGACTTGTGCAAACCTCGACCAGTGTTCATCGTCCCCTCCAGGACACGGCCCCGGAGGGGAGGGCATGGAACGGGGCCTGGGCCTGCTCACCCACCAGCTGTGAAAGCGGAGTGGGCTCTGACTGTCCCCGGACACAGGTGACACTGGAAACCGGGAACTGGATTTTGAACTCCAGTGTTGAGTACGAGAGGCAGAGGAGGCTACAGCTGCTGGGCTGGATCCTGCCCTGGGGGCTTCCTCCTGGGGAAGGAGACCCGGGCTCTGCCTTGGGCTCGGCGGCCTGGGGTCACTGGCCAGGGCTCGCCCTCCACGGGAAACACTCTGCGCCCCGTGCCTTGGCTCCCTGACGCCCGACATCTGTCCCTAACAGGGCCTGGCGCCTCCCTCAGGCTCTGTGCCCTGGCCCCCGGCTTCTGCGCTGAGGCCCGTCGGCCCTGCCTTCCCCCCTCCTTGCCCCACCTGCTCCATGGCACGATCCCCAGGACCAACCCACAGCCCCGCACTGGGCACCCAGGCTGACACAAAGGGCCAGGCAAGGGCCTGAGTGGTCCCCTTTCCGTCCACTCTCACCCGGCGCAGACTTAGTGGCACACTCTCACCCCAGTAGTCACCCCTCCATTCATTCCCGTCTGCTGTCTGAGCACCGAACCCCAGAGAGCCACCCCAGGCCCTCCTGCCTCTCCTGCCGGGGCCCGGAAGCACTCAGAATGCCCTACTATTTGGTTCTGTCTGAGAAGAAACCCAGACACTCCAGCTTACAGATGATTTCAGGGCCTGCACTAGACATTACACGGCAGGCACGCTTAGGACTTTGTGGCTCTCATTCTGCTTCGAAGATACGTGACCTCCGGCCCGAGGAATTCTCGGCATGACGGAGTGATGAGACTTACTGCAATGAGTCAAAAGCTGCACCAACACGTGCAAGTTGCTGGGGATCAGCTTTGCTCTTGGAATAAGATTCTTCCACTTCGTGGCAGGGCCACCTGTGAGCAGTGAGCTCTGTGTCATTAGAGGTCAAGGTACGGCCAGTGCTCAGCTGCTCGGAGTGTTGCAGAGAAGATGCCCGCTTCTGATGGTGAGTTAGCCTGACTGACTTGAAAAGCCCTTTCTACTCGAATACATGATCCCATGAAGCCTCCGGCAGGCGAGAGCAATAGCCGTGGCCAAGCCTGGGGACAACATCACGGGGAGGACCAACAGAGCGCCTCCTGGTTTCATTCCAGCTTTCCTCATGGTGGTGGGTGGGGAGGAGGACGGGGCCTCCTCCTCCACCCTGCACCACACAGCCTTTCACGTCTGGGCCAGGAGGACGGCACAGACGACCTGTCATCCCACCTCGTCTCCAGGGGCCCATGGTCCCTGTTGTACCCTGACTTCCATTCAACAGTTTGTGCTCAAAACCCTACCGTGCTGGGGAGGCCCTGGAGCCTGGCTCAGCTACAGCGGGTTTCCCCACTGCAAACACCTGGCTCAACAGTTTGTCTCCTGCGGTCCATACCCGGAGGGCAGCAGAAGCTGCGAAGACAGGGGTGACCCTGAGTATGGAGAGGCAAGGCCTTCACTGCAGCCCAGGGGGCTTCCTGGCGGAGAGGGGGGTCTGCAGGCAGGTGTGGGGCTGAAACGGACCATGGCAACAAGGTAAATTTAAGGTGCTTTAAAGCCATAGCTGAAGTGGAAGCCCCAAGGATCATCTGATATTTCTCATGGCCTGGGTGACAGTCACCAGAGTGTGACTCAGTCTCTGGGGGCACACTGAGCTGGTTTTAAATGTTGCTTGGCCATGCTGCAAGAGTGGGCAAGGGCCTTCAGCCTCCATTTTCTCATCTGTAAAATGGGTATAGCACCCGGTATGCAAATGTTGTCTGCGGTAACCACATCGGCCAGGGCAAGTCTTGTGAGCCAGTTCAGAAACACTTAGAATTTGCAAATCCTTTCTTTTCCAAAGGGGGCGATTTAACTCTGCAGGAGAGAGCTGGGGAATGAGGTCTGAGCGCTGCTTACCCATTTCCTGGTCCTCCTGCACGCGTCTCCTTTCGTCCGCACAAGCCTGCAGCCACCTCGCCTTGTCTTCCTGTTTCTTGGCACAAAACAGATGAGCCTCGTCCGTGGTTTTGCTGACGAGCTTGAAGGCGTTTTTCACGCTGAGGTTCCAGTCCTTGTCCCGCCCGTCCTCCAGGTCCACGAGCTCCATGTCATCCATGTCCATGCGGCCCCTGTAGTAGAGCATGTCCCTGCGCAGCAGGTCCTTCTTGCAGGACACCAGCTGGTGGTCAAACAGAAAGAATGTCCGCTGCTGGCTCTTGCCCTGCCTCGTGATTCTGGTCAGCTCCCCAGAGTGGATCAATTCTGAACTTCGGTCTAAGATGTCCTGTCCCTGGAGGATGAAAACACACTGTGAGACCTTCCGATTCTTACGTACATCGGGGATAGAGGCTGAGGCCCTGCCCCGGAACCTCCCCAGCTTCCCCATTTGCCTGAGGCCCCTTCACGGCTGGCCAAGGCTCAAGGCTATGTAAAATCTCAGTTCATTAGTCTTCGTGTGTGAGGTTCTTTTCTTTTTCTCCTACTCGATGGGGAAAGATTACAGGGCCTCTATGCGATCTGAGAGGTCTTCCTCATCAGGAAGAGCGGTGAGAAGGCGGCCGCAGTAATGGAGTCCGATCAGATCTGAAACGGCAGCCGGCCGGCCGGCCCTCGGACAGCGAGGACCACAGGCAGGTCCCGGCAGGTAGGACAGGGCACTGCAGACGCCTGGCTTGGAGGAAACAAAAGGCCAGACGGCAAACCGCCAGCAAGACACTGGTGAACTGACAGTAAATGATCTAAGTGTCGGAGTCCAAACACTGAAGGAAAACCACACGTTTAGCATATTTAGGTTGGGTCTAATCCAGCAGAACTTTATGGCATTTGGTATGACGCTGTCTTTTTAGTTTTATAAATTGAAGATTTTATTCTCCTTTAGTCTCAATCATACACAACATTATTCTGTAGGCCACAGCTCAACTCCAAATACCTCTTCTGCTTCCTTGCCCAGAGACATTCTGTGGCCTAGATTCTTCACTTACAGAGTAAGAGTTAGAGTCGGTGACCTCCAAGGGCCCTCCAAGCTCCAAAAATCCAAAAGGCCCTTGAAATACAAGTATTTCTTTCCAGCGTTCATCACTATTATCTACTTTAGTTAAAAACCTAACTTCTCAACACAAACTTCCACGATCCTTTGGGAGAATGAGTTTTGACTAATTAGCTGGATGTAGGATGAATCTTTCTTGTTCTAAAACTAATATGAACAGCAGCAGTTTATTATTTTTAACAATGGCCACCGAGCCTGGTGGTTATCAGCAGGGACCCCGAAGCCAGGCTGCCTGCCTGGGTGAATCCATTTCGGCCGCTTCCTAGCTCTGTGGCTGTGGCAAGCCACGTGGCCATTCCGTGCTTCAGTTCCCCCACGTGCTAAGTGGGGGTAATGTTCCCTACTTCATAGGGCTGCTGAGAGGATTAAATGAGCTCACACATATAAATGGCTTAGACCAGTGCTAGGCATGAAGTGAACACAATACAGGCACTCACTATTGTTACGGTTCTTGTTTTTATAAATGAATGTGTGCACGTGTGTGTGTGACTGTGTGTGCATGCACATATGCACTGGACATTATTACAGGCTGTATTGAGCATTGCATTTGCACTGTCTTATATAACCCTCACAATAGCCCTACAAGGCAGGTACTATTTTCCTGTCGTATAAATGAAAATATGGCCCTGGCCGATTTGGCTCAGCGGCTAGGGCGTCGGCATGTGGTCCAGAGAGACTCAGGTTCGGTTCCCGCTAAGGGTACATACCTCAGTTGCAGTTTGTCCCCGGCCCTGGTTGGGTCGTGTGGGTGGCAGCCACTCGATGTGTCCCTTTCACGTCGATGTTTCTCTCTCTCTTCCTCTCTCTCCCTCCCACTCTACCTGAATAAAAAATGGAAAAATGTCCTCAGGTGAGGATAAATAAATAAATAAAAAAAAATATGGATCGCCCCCAGCTCACAGCGGATTTAGACGCAGCCCATGCCCTCGCCACACCGTGATGTGTCTTCTGTGTTCTCCAGTGCCCTCATGAAGGTTCCTCTCCGCAGGAGAGAAGGTAACTGTTTAATTACAGACACACCTCAGAGTATTTCGTGGTGGAGGTGAAAGGGAAAGTAGTTGCCTTAAATTCAATGATATGCCTAAACATACACGCAGGTATCCCCTACTTTTCAAAAGCCCTCTTTACACCACTTCACTTTCACTAAAGACCTACATTGGTACCTGTTTTTGCTAACTGAAAGAAACCCAAAGAGAATTTTCATTTTTACCAAAAAAGGCGAGAAGTAAAAGTAGCCCAGTGTGTGGTTTCCAGCAGCCATTACAGAGGCAGCACACCCAAGCCTCAGGCCCCACAGCGGCCCCTGGAGCTCCTTCCCGGGAACCGCACTCAGCCTCCAGCCTCCAGCCTCCAGCGCTCCGCGGTGTCTGCGAGCATTGTGCTGTATTGACTGGTTTTGTGCATCCGTTAGCAAGATGTGCCCAGCGCACTGGTCTTAGGCTTTGCACCGGTTGAGCTTATGAACGGCTTCCTAGGAACGCTCTACTTTCGGACAGCAGGGGAATCCTGTGCACCCTTAAAGCCATGAGTATCAAGTATCAATCACAGGACATTAAAGTCTGTCATTAAACCAGACAAGGGGGGTGACCGATGAGGGGCTGTCCACTCACCTCCCAGCCCACGATGGAGACCTGCCACCGCGCTATCTTGCCGATGCTTTCCAGCTTGCGTTTGCGCTCGTTGATCAAACAGGCTACGTTCTTCATGGCCTCGTATGCTGCCTTTATATTGTTGTAGTCACTGAAAAGTGAGAGGCAAATTTTAACCATATGACATGCAATTCAAAAAGGAGGACTGATGGACAAGGCCCTTCAGCCTCTGGCCTCCGAGGAGCTGCCACGGTCACCAGGAGGGCGGTGCGGGCGGGGAGCGGCTGAACCCACGGCAGATAAGTGGAAAAATATCCTTGGGTGAGGATTTAACAAAGTTTTTTCAATTGAGAAAAAGAAAACAGAGATGGCGGCAGAGTAAATGGAAGCTCCACAGACCGTCTGGAGGACCAAACTAGAATTACAACAAAAATCAAGACCAAACATCAGAAACAACCAGCCGAAGAGCAGCTGGAAGAGAACCTACCACCAAGGACGGGAGAGGACGCCAAGTCGAGCCTGACTGGCACCGCGGAGGCACGTGGGGCGGGCTGAGGCCCGCAGACACTATCGAGGGCTGGATTAGTGGTGTGCACTTCCCGCCGAGAAAGCGGGGTTTAAAAAGCACGAAATGAGCTTGGGCTGCGGCAGAGGGAGGGCGGGCAGGCTGGACTGGGACTGTGTGGAGACAGTCCAGGGCTCCTGGCTCAGGAGAGAGTGAGAGACTCAGGAGGGCACCGGAGTCTTGTACTGACTCCCTCCCTCACAGGACAGGACCCACCTCACTCTAGGAGCCCCTTCCAGAGCCCCAGGGAGAAGCAACAGCCCCGCCCTAAGGAGTTTAACACCACCCAGCAAGCATCTGCCCCACCCTCTGGAAATCCTGACCCTGAACACCTGAGGGATTTTTCCATTCAGTTGAGGGCTACAAAAAAACTAAGATACCTAGAAATAAACTTAACCAAAGAAGTAAAGGACCTGTTCTCAGAAAATTATAGGACATTGAAAAAAGAAATGGAGCCCTGGCCAGTTTGGCTCAGCGGTTAGAGCGTCGGCCTGCGGTCCGGAGAGACCCGGGTTCGGTTCCCGCTGAGGGCACGTACTTCGGTTGCAGTTTGTCCCCGGCCCTGGTTGGTCGTGAGGGTGGCAGCCACTCGATGTGTCCCTTCACGTCGATGTTTCTCACTCTCTCTCCCTTCCTCTCTCTCCCTCTCACTCTATCTGTACAAAAAATGGAAACAATATCCTCGGGTGAGGATTAAAAAAAAACAAAACGAAAAAAGAAATGGAGGCAATATGAATAAGACTAAATGTGACTCGTGAATCCATAAAAATCCCAGAAGACAATGTAGGCAACAAAATTTCAGACATCACATGCAGCAGAATTTTCACTGATACAATGCCTTAGGCAAGAGAAACAAATAAAAAAAATTAATACATAGGACTACATCAAACTAACAAGTTTCTGCACAGCAAAAGAAACAACCATCAAAATGGAAAAGGAACCCACTATATGGGAGAGCATAATTGCTAATGATATATCAGATAAGGGGCTAATTTCCAAAATACAGAGAATACTCATATAACTCAACAAAAGAAAGACAAAGAACCCAATTAAAAAATGGGCAGAGGACCTAAATAATCACCTATCCAAACAGGATATACAAATGGTCAAGAGACATATGAAAAAATGCTCAACATCACTAATCATCAGAGAGATGCAAATTAAGATGACTGAAGTATCACCTCACACAGCCAGAATGGCTGCCATCAATAAATCATCAAACCACAAGTGTTGGCGAGGGTGTGGAGAAAAGGGGACTCTAGTACACTGCTGGTGGGAATGCAGACTGGGGCAGCCACTATAAAAAACGATATGATGTTTCTGTTAGCTCTTAACTTCTGTATTACTGCCGGAAACCTCTCATTCCAGAAAAACAAAACCCATCACTCCAGTTAGGCGGAACGAAATGACAGAACCACCCTAACCCACCCAAAACTGCAAATGGTCGTTGGACAAGAAAAACAAGTTTCAGGAGACCCCAGCCCCTGACCAATCAAGGACTCGGGAGACCCCAGGCCCGACCAATCAAAGACTACCACTCCCCCAGCCTTGAGTTTAAAAATGCCTAGTCTGTACAAGCTGGTTGCTGTTCTCCTTAGAGGTAGTCCAGCAGGCTGATTCCCAATAAACCTGCACTCTGGAGACCCTGCATCGCCTCGTTTCACCTCATTCTTACAGTTTACTCAAAAAATTAAAAATGAAACTGTTTGACCGTCACCCCACTTCTGGGAATACACCCTAAGAATCCTGAAACACCAATCCGAAAGAATATATGCATCCCTATGTACATAGAAGTGTTATTTACAATTGCTGAGATCTGGAAACAGCCGTATCCATCAGTAGAAGAGTGGATGAAAAAGCTGTGGTACAGCCCTGGCTGGCTTTGCTCAGTGGTTAGAGCATTGGCCCATGGACCAAGGAGTGGAGGGTTCAATTCAGTCAAGGGCACGTATCTCGGTTGTGGTTCATCCCTGGCCCTGGTTGGGTCATGTAGGAGGCAACCAGTTGATGTATCTAACTCACATCAGATGTTTCTCTCCTTCTCTTTTCCTCCCTCCCACTCTATCTGATGATAAACAGAAAAATATCCTCGGGTGAGGATTGAAAACTAATAATAATGAGGAGGAGATTCCATAATGGCGGCAGAGTGAACAAAAGCTACACAGAGCATCTGCCAGGACCAAACTGGAATTACAACTAAAATAAAGACAAATTGTCAGGAAAAAACAAACAAACAGAAAAGCAGCTGGTGAGGACCCGTATAGCCATGGACCGAAAGAGGACACTAAATTGAGCCTGGTAGAAACTACGGAGATGTGCAAGGGCCGGCTGGGAGCCCACAGACAGCAGCTGTTTTAGCTGTGAGCAGCCCCTTTGAGGTTAAAATCCCAAGCTGGCTCCAGAGCACAGAGAGCCAGGATAGAGCACTAAATTAGCGACAGTCACTCACCTTGGGCTCTGGCAGAGGGAGGGCAGACTGGAATGGAACAGTGTGGAGACTCAGGAGCTTGGAGAGATAGCAGGGCAGTGGAAGTCTACTGACTCACTTCCTCAGGACAGTACCCATCTCACTCTAAGAGCCCCTTCCCAGAGCCCCAGGGAGAAGCAACAGCCCCTCCCTAAGGAGTTTAACACCACCCAGCAAGCATCTGCTCCACCCTCTGGAAATCCTCTGACCCTGAACACCTGAGGGATTTTTCCATTCAGTTGAGGGCTACAAAAAAACTAAGATACCTAGAAATAAACTTAACCAAAGAAGTAAAGGACCTGTTCTCAGAAAATTACTGGACATTGGAAAAAGAAATGGAGGCAATATGGATAAAAGACTTAAATGTGATTTGTGAATCCATAAAAATCCCAGAAGACAATGTAGGCAACATAATTTCAGACATCACATGCAGCAGAATTTTCACTGATACAATGCCTTAGGCAAGAAAAACAAAGGAAAACATGAATACATGGGACTACATCAAACTAACAAGTTTCTGCACAGCAAAAGAAACAACCATCAAAATGGAAAGGGAACCCACTATATGGGAGAACAAATTGCCAACGATACATCAAATACGGGGTTAATTTCCAAAATATATAGAGTACTCATACAACTCAACAAAAGGAAGACAAAGAACTCAATTTAAAAATGTGTACAGGAGCTAAATGGACACCTCTCTAAATAGCCATGAGACATATGAAAAAATGCTCAACATCACTAATCATCAGAGAGATGCAAATTAAGATGACTATGAGGTATCACCTCACACGGGCCAGAATGGCCACCATCAACAAATCATCAAACAGCAACTGCTGGTGAGGGTGTGGAGGAAAGGGGACTCTAGTACACTGCTGGTGGGAACGCAGACTGGTGCAGCCACTATGGAAAACAGCATGGTGTTTCCTCAAGAAATTAAAAATTGATCTGCCATTTGACCCAGTGATCCCACTTCTAGAAATATATCCTAAGGAGCCTGAAACACCAATCAAAGAATATATGTACCCCTATGTTCATAGCAGCACTATTTACAATCGCTAAGATCTGGAAACACCTCAAGTGTCCATCAATAAATGAACAAATAAAAAAAGCTGTGGTACATATACACAATGGAGTACTACGCGGCTGTAAGAAAGAGAGATCTCTTATCCTTTGAGACTACATGAAAGGACCTGGAGAGTATTATGCTAATAAGAGAAAGACAAATATCACACGATCTCACTTATTTGTGGAATATAATAAACAATAGAAGCTGATGAACAAAATAGACCCAGAGACATAGAAGTAGGGTACAGACTGAAAACCTCAGAAGAGGGGGGCGGGGGGAGGGTAGAGATAAACCACAGAACTTATATGCATGTGTGTGTAAGCAATGGACATAGACAACAATGCTGAGGGTGGGGGATCAGGAGGAGGGGGTCAATGGGGGGAAAAGGAGAAAAATCTGTAACAAAAATACATTAATAAAACTGGCAATAAATAAATAAATAAATAAATAGCTGAGAAGAAAAAAAAAAGAAAAAGAAAATGAGGACTTATGAAAGAATACATCCCCCTCCCATTTGTATACGAATGGTCTAGACAACTGGCATTTAAACAACAGCCATTGTTTCCCTTTTCTGCTCCTCCATGAATAGACCACAGTCTGCATAGGTTAAGGGAGCTGACGAATGCAATGCAGAATTCTTGAGAATAAGAATGCGGTCCTTCATTTCCCAGAAGTTACCATGAATGAAAGTAAATGCCACAAGGAGATTAATCACAGTGACAATGAATTTCATTAATAAAGAAAGGGCATTCTTTGTGATTGTTCCTATTCGGATACAGCTAGTTTTCTGTAGAAAGAACCTGAACAATCACTAACCATGTTTTAGGGTGATGACGTGCCCTGAGTCCCATCTTTCAAGTTGTTCAGGAAAAGACACCACAGGCCACAAGTCACAGAAGGCTGACAGAGTGAGCTGCACAAATACTGATGCAGCATCTACTTCACCAAGAGATCTCCATTTCTGGTGCTTTCCATGCGCTACAGTCAAATCAAAGTAAAATGCTGCCCCCAGCAGGCTCCTGTTCACAAGGCCTCCGAAACTACCAACACTAAAACGGGAGTGCTAATCTCCACACAGACTGAAAGATGTCCAGTATTGGAAACGCTCCCATTCAAGTTCTGCTCAGAGTTAATAACGTGGGAACATGTAAACCAGTCACCCAGCTAATGAGCTGATTTTTTCTTTTTTTTTTACCTTCTAGCACTTTCCTGTGTCTTGCAGAACAGACAGAGCCTTTGGACTCAGTCTGACTGAATTCGAGTCCTCTTGCACAGCCAGGAAAAATAGCCTGGGAAGCAGATTCTATTGTTTATTTACCGAACACAACCAAACTCAGCTCCCAGAAGTCTCTGGCCGTCTGCCCAAAAGGCAGGGCCTGCTGTGTGTGGACAAGCTATTCGCACACAGAAGCAGAGCACAGAGGGAGAACAGAAAGGACAGGGGCTGCAGAAGTCCTGGGAGCAAAGCACCCAGACAGGTCCCCAGCACGAAGAAGGCCTGCAAAATAAGTGGTTTTGTTTCTTTCCGCCAGTTTTTTTTTATTTTATACAATTCCAGAAAAACAAACAAACAAAAACCAGTGTAATTTTTTAAAATTTTGTGTGTTTTACTTAAGGAAATGGGCTTTTTGTTACTTCCTTCACAATTATTTTTTAAAAAAACATCAAATCTGCCAATACCTCATAGTGAAAAATGCCCTCAAGAGAAAAATGAGCTGTTGAAAGGTGACGTGTGGACTTCTGGCCACAGCCTGTCTGGGTCTTTCGAGATATCTTTGCTTTTTATCTGTCTGTCTATCTTCTCTAGTTTCTTATCATGATGCCTTTTTATTCTTTTTAAAAAACTTCTTCAAATCCATTATTCTTTTGATTTATTGTTTCCAAACTTTTCTGATTTTCCATCCGAAAGGAAATACATAGCTCTTTCCTCTGTTTCAATGAACACCCTTATCTTGGTATTATAATTCTAATTCTTTAAACACCCATGTCTAGGGTCAATTATTCAGTGACTGAGCTCTTCTTCTCTTCCTACCTGCCAACCTAATTGTAAAAAGACTCCTTTTTTTCAGCCCTCTTTCTCCACAGGTGTCTAGTGGCAGAAAGGGCAAAAGAAAGGCTGATTCTGGGCACCCTGCCGGGCCAGGTACTGCTGGGAGAGGTGATTGCTTTAGAACAATAGCTGTTAGAACCCAAGCAGAGTGGTTTGCAGACAGCAAATTTCCTCTGGGTACAATCTTCCCCTCCCCCCTCGCACTGGGACCCAAGAGGTCCTTTCAGGGGCTGCAGCTGCAGTGAGAGCTTTGCACCAGTGACACAGGTGTCACGACAGGCTGGATTCTGGTCTAAAATGGTGCCACCATCGTAACAATCTGGTTATTAACGAACAGGAAAGGAGTAGCGGGAAGAACAGATGACATAGGCATGCCATTTACGCAGCTTTGCCAGAAAGCTGCAAGTGTGCATTCTCCAGGTTGATTCCCCACAGACGGGTGGGGGAAGGGACTGGACAAAGGCAGTTTAGATGCATGCCCAGGAAGGTCTGGGTGATGTGAGAAGGTGCTTACGTGTCAATCACTCCTGAGGGGTTGGGGAGTTGGAAGATGGATGATTTGTAACCTTGTGTTAATGCATTCTCAATATCTGGCCAGCCCAGGTGCAACTGAGTGCTTCATTTGCATGTGAATAAGATAAGGTTTGCATGGGTGGACTAATGGGTCCTAGGACTCAAGAATGTCTGTGTTTGTTATTTTTTAGTTTCAAAGTCTCTTTCCACAGTAAAAAAAAAAAGAGACAAAGCTAGGCTGCATAGTTTACAGAGATGCCATCTTAAGAAAATAAGTTACATAAATCCACATGTAACCTGGGGGAACCAATCTGTAAATAAATGGGACTGCATCCAAAGAACTGGAGCATTTGCTCCCTTGCAAAGCTCCCCCTCACTCCAAGCAGCGCTGCTTGTAGTTTCATCGCGTTGCACTGATCCTAGCAGGCGAAGAGATGGCAAGAATAGGCATGGCCACTGCGAGGGCGCCAAGTCTAAATATTGAAACTCCTAGACAAAGGAAGTTCCCTCTCTCCCTCTCTTGGTTCCTTCTCTTGCTTGCCAAGCTCCTGACTCTCTGGTTACAGGGGGAGCTCCCTACAGTGGACTAGTACTATCCTGGATCTGGCTGCAACATGGAAAGGAAACTGGACACTGGCCCTACTTCTCGTTCTGCCAAACTGACAGCTACCCCCTTTTCAGGGCTGGGCTAAGAGGCGGGGCTTTGTAACCCAAGGAATGTAACTGCGCGCAAATAAAATCATGTACCACATCTTTCTCCTGTGGGGGCTTCTGAAAATGCTTATTTCAGTGGTGCCCCAAAAACCTTGCTCCCATGAGTGATGGGGAAATCTGGCCCAGTGATTTCTCATGCAACAACATAAGTTGTATCCTAAAACGTTGCCTGGTAATGGTTGTGTCCCCACGAGCATTTCAGTTGTGGCCTGGTGAGAATAAGCAATGACCCAAGTGCTGCCACCTAAAAGAGCCAAACAGCTGGGTCTTGCTGTGGTGACATGGTCATGGGAAATGGCCATGCCCCATCCAGAACTGAAAGGGTCACACCTTACATGTAAGCACAGCAAGATTATACCTGATGCTGTGTGTGCAGGAAAACTTTCAGTTGCTATTCAGCAACAGAGAACTTTTGGTCTCCCAGAACTTGGGCACACAGTAAGCCCTAAAGGGAGATGGAAAGTAGGGGCGATCAATCACAGGGAGCCCTGTGCTGGAAGGAGAGGAGACAGGGGACAGGATTCCGGGGACAGAGCAAGCACCCGGCTGGGCGAGAAAGGGCTGCGGGCCGAAAGGGATCGCTGAGAGGCGTCTCCCAAGTGGGCCCCACATGCTACTCCATGCCCTGAGACCCCCTACTTTTTCATAGCTTGCTTTTCTCTTTGTCCTCATCCCTTCTGTAGAGCAAGTGTTCGTTGGCAGTATTTAACACTGCTCTGAGGGTAAGCTAATGGAAAGCAATGAAAGGATTAGTACAGGGGAGAAAAGAAAACATTTCTTACAATGTATTCAACTGGTCTATTTCTTTTAAAAACCCGTTTTTATTAACTACTGAGTAGCTACCAAAGAGTGTTTATACAATATTTGTCAATAATAAGGACCAACAACACAATAAAAGTCCCCAAGGGAGAGAAAGGGAATAAGGGAAATAAGGGAGGGAAGGAGAGGGAGACAGACATGGATTAGTTGTTCTACTTGCTTATGTATTCTCTGTTTGGTCTTTGCATGTGCCCTGACTGGACACCAAACCCACAGCCTTGATGTCGGGATTACGGTCTAACCCACCGAGCTACCCAGCCAGGGCCCAAGTAACTTCTTACATATATTTTTTATCCTCACCAGAGGACTTTTTTTTTTTTTTTTTTTTGCATTTATCTTCAGATAGAGCAGGAGGGAGAGAGGGAGGAAGAGAGAAAGAGAAACATGGATGTGAGAGAGACACATCGAGCAGTTGCCACCCACACAACCCCAACCGGGGCCAGGGACAAACTACAACCGAGGTACGTGCCCTCAGCGGGAACCGAACCCAGGACTCTCTGTTTCACAGACCGACGCTGTAACTGTTGAGCCAAACTGGCCAGGGCAATTTCTTCTATTTTTTAATAGCTCTAGGAATGGATAGTCTGGAGCCTCACGAACCCCATTTCAGTAGTTGGCAATCCTAAACATTCTAAACAACCCGAAAACTTCTTCCACTGGGGTCACGACAGTGACCCCTGAGCCCACCTGCCACTGCCACGGGCCTCTCACCTGTGCTCCTGCGTGGTGTACTTGAGCAGCTCGGCCAGCTGCAGCGGGTACTTGCAGATCTTCTGCACGGGCGTGAGCAGGAAGCCATCGATGGCGATGTCGATCATCTGCTGCAGCAGGCGGCACGCCTCGAAGAAGTGCCGGTAGCGGCCCTGCTTCATCAGGCCGGCCAGCTCCGCGCAGGCGCCCGGGTGGTTGTTACAGTACTCGGAGTAGATGGCGAAGCCCTCTTGCTGGGAGGAGAGGGGAGACAGCGTCAGGAGGCTGTGGGGGGCTGTGGGCTGAGGCAACGTCCGGCAACACCCACTCCTACGCGAGGGGGCATCCCCGGGAGGGGGCGATGGCACCCCAAGTCCTTCTGCAGTGTTTTTCATGCCTGGGCAAGAGGGCCAGACCTTCTCTGTGGGAAGGGGCCACAGGCCGACTCTCCAGGCGGTTCTTATCTCTGGGGCAGGGAGAGGCCGCTCTAGGTCAGAGTCCGGCCCCTTCCAAGCAGTCTTCCTCAGACCAGGAAAGGGTGTGGCACAGGTGCCAGGACTTCCCCGGGGAAACGGCGCTCCCTGCTGTCACCCTCCTCCCCAGCTCTGAGAGAGGAAGGTGCTGTTCTGCCCAACTGGCTCCCTTCCTTGTCCTCTTCTTCTCTCTGATAAACGCCTTGACCATGACCAAGAGGCGAGATTCAAAGCTACCGCCTTCTCACCACAAGTCTTCTCCTTCACATCCACTGCCTGGCTCCCAAGGTGTGGCCCGCCCACCTGCACAGGCAAGCCCATTGCTCACTTCCTTTCCCCTTGGGTCACTTCCAGGCCGCAGCCACCCTGCCAGCTTCTCTGTGGTGCCCGCCCTTCTCCTGACTCTGCAGAGCCCGGTCCAGCCCTCCTCCAGCCCTCCTCCAGCCCTCCTCCAGCCCTCCTCCAGCCCTCCTCCAGCCCCCCTCCAGCCCTCCTCCAGCCCCCCTCCAGCCCTCCTCCAGCCCTCCTCCAGCCCCCCGGGGGTGGCTGCACACTCCCAGGAGCAGCGCGGCCTGGCGCTCGGCCTCTGCTCCCACCCAGGTGCGTCCTCACTGCCGCTGGACTTCATGGTCACAACGTCTACCTGCCCAGAGCTGTGTTCCTTTCTGGTCACGTCCACGTCACAGTTCATACACCATGTGCTCAAACCCAACTCCTCCACCGACTCCTTCTCCCAAGGGCAGGTTTTCCTCACCCGCCTGTTAACTCTTTCAGACTCAAAACCCTGCTGCTTTTGTTACCTATGACCAGTCTTGTCGGTGTGTCCTCACAATACCCCTCAACAAATCTGTCTTTCTGTGTGTCCACTGCCTCCGCCCTTGCCGGGGCCCAGAAGCAGCAACTCTCTGTTCCGCAGTCCGACTCCCGTCCCCCAGGCGGGATCCACCTTCTGAGGCTTCTCCCCATCAGGCGCCGCCAGCTCGCAGCCTGACCTTCGGCGACCTCTGGAGCCCTCCTCAGCTCCTTGGATCTGGCCCAGCAGGCCTCTCACGGTGGATCTTCCCGCTCCCACTACCCCCGCGGGCTCGGTCCCAGCCTCAGAAGGCAGCCTTCCTGGGGCCCAGCTCCACTCCACGGCCTCTGCGAAGCCACTGGCCCAGCACAGCGCGCGCTGCCCAAGGAGGCGGGGTGGTTGTCACTGCTGCTGTTATGAGTACTGTTACGCCCTGGCCACTGGCTGGGGACAGAATCTCCCCCCTCTGAAATCTTTCAGTATTAAATAGTGACAATCATCCATGACATGACAAGCTCATGCCATCATCATAAGACTATCCTAACGCAGGCACAGCGGTCACAGGCTTGGGTCCCAGAGCCACACGCCTCGGTGTGAATTCCCCTCTGCCACCCACCAACATGTGGCCTGGTCAGTTACTCCCTGGGCTTCAGATTCCTCGCCCGTAACATGCGGACAACAGTCATACCAGCCTCGCCGCAGTACAGGAGCTAACATAAGACGATTCTGCAGACAGTGCTTAAGGTATAATAGACAATTAACAGGTACTGTTAAAAATTACTCCAAACCACATGAAAGTGGAAACACTTTGGGTATTTAGCTAAAGATGAACCATATAAATCAATCAACTTACTTTGCAAGTGACATCTCCACCCCATGGGAAATTAATCTAGCAAACAGTCACAAAAAGGACCCCTATTTTTAGGGAAGAAAGAGTACAGAGGTATTTAACCGGATGTTGTTAATAAAGAAGTAACGGGTGACGTACATGTTGAAGAAAGCAGGATCCTATTTCACTTAAGTGAGGTTCCTCTTTATTGTACTGTTTCTCAAGGTCTTTCAGGAACTTTCTTTGGAATTTGTAAATGTCTTCGATGTTTCCGAAAATGGTGGCCAGTTGTGCAACCGTGAACATACCCGTGTGCTTGCGACACTGTCGAATATAGCCCTGCAAAAGGGACAGCAGGCTTTTAAAAACGAATCTGGAAATTCATAGAAATGACTTCTTTCAGTAATACAGTATTTTGGGTCCTAAGCCATTGTCCTGGAGCAGATTTTAATTAGAGAAGATTATTTTCACCTCTTTGGGCCTCTGGTGGGATAATCATACTTCCATGACTACAATGTGCCATATTTTTAAAATAAAACAAAAGAGAAAAGACATGTGTGGCTGATGTATCATTCAAAAAACCCTACCAAGTTTCCAGATTTTACTCATGAAACAAGTTGCTTAGTTTCAAATACTAGTTCAAAAATTGGCGTTGTTGCCCTGGCCGGATTAGCTCAGCGGCTGGAGCATCAGCCTGCGGACCAATGATTGGCGGGTTCAGTTCCAGTCAAGGGCGTGTACCTTGGTTTCGTTTGTGCCCAGCCCTGGTCAGGTCGTGCGGGAGGCAACTAGTCGATGTGGCTCTGTCACATCGATGTTTCTCTCTGTCTCTCTCTCTCCCTCCCTCCCCCTCTATCTGATAATACATAGAAAAATATCTTCGGGTGAGAAATAAAAAGAAAAAAAAATCGGTGTTGTTATATTTTTTCTGACCTCTTCAGATAGTCATTCCCCTATCCCTAACGCTGTTTCCAGCCAAGAAGACTTGTCAGACACTGAATACCACGAACAGCTGTAGCTCTGCTCACTGTCATGGCCAAGGGACACCTCACCCGGGGCTCCACCGTCACCTGCTTTCTATTCATGGCCTCAGTCTGTAGCTCTTTAACCCAAGGCCTGCGCTAGTTAGAAACTATTAATTACGCACCGTTCACACTATGGCTTTCGTAGGAGTTAGTGAGGTAGGAAGGAAAGGCCATAAATATATGTAATAATTATTCACAAATTAGCAACATGTAGTTACAGACTAGATTGACTAAATGGTTAAATCCCACCACCAACTATTTGGTATAAATTTTAACAAGACACTGTTAAAGTTCAGGGGGACAGGCTCTGGGGCCGACTGCCCGGTTTAAGTCCCAACCCCCAGACTTAACTTCTCTGTGCCCAGGTTCCTCATCTGTAATACGGGCTAAGAGGACCTGCCTAGTGAGAGTAAAATAAGTTAACCCAGGTAAAGGGATGCACATAGCCAATGCTCACAATTATTAGCAACTGCTGTTACTTTCCTAATATGTCACTTTAAAGAAGGTCCCTTAGCCATAGAGTCACAGAGAACAGCATGGGCACACAAATAAGCTAAAACTGTGTATCTGTGTGCGGCCAGTTAACGCGGTTACAAATAGTGTGCTCGTCTTCAGTGCAGAGATCAGCCCCCGCGGCCAGGACAGCTGGAATGACCCGCAGGGCAAACAGCAGTTCAGAGTAATGCTCACACAAAACCCATAGAAACGAAGAATGCCACGGGAGAAATGAAAGGTACTGCACAGCAGAGCTATCACGGCGCTGTAGAATACAGCCTTGGCTATCCCGGGGTGAAGGCAATTCTCCTGTTTGCTTCTGTCTCCATCTAAGTGACTCGGAATCTCGGCCGCGAGACAGTGGCTGGAGGCAGCAGGCTGTAGACAGCGACAAGCCTTTGACTCCCTGTAAGTCAAGTGGGTTTCACGTACAGGGTGTTGCCTTCTCTGACAGTCACTTGCTCTGAACAGTGTACGAGTTCAGTCCGGAAGGGGACAGTGGCACAGTGCCCCGGAAAGAACACTGGCTGCAAAGCCGGGCGGACAGCCGTTATGCTCACCACGGCAGATGCGTGTTCAATGCGTGAGCAGCGTGTGCAAGGACCAGAGACGGAGGAGAAATGAGGGCTCTAGAAAAATATGTACAGAGGAGGTTCTGACGGGCAGAAGAAAACCGTGTGGCATACCAGTCACGGGACAACCTCGGTGAGGCCGCACGCCTGGCGTCTTACCTCACAGATGTCCTTGAGGTGCTTGATGTACACCCGCTCGGTGTTCATGATCTCCTGGATGACGTTGGTCCTCATCTGGTGCTTGCTCTCGGCGTGCTTGTGGCGGGTCCTGCCGGCATCCTCCTCCTGCTCCTCGCCCTGCGTGCTGCTGGAATTCTCCGACAGCTCTTCCTGATTGACGCGCAGCTGCAGTGCACACAGGGACGGGGCTGGGGGGCCGCTCGGAACCGGGCAGGAGGCACCTGACCCTCGCCCGTCCCATGCACTCGGCAGAGCCGCACGGCACCAGCAGCTCAGAACACAGCGGCAGCGCCAAACCCCTGGTCACCTCACTTCAAAGTTTCCCTTCGACTCAGTCGAAGTTCTAAAAGGTTTGGTGGAAACAATTAGCAAGAAGGGAATCTGTGCAAAGAGTGACTTGGCCGAACCGCCCAGCCGCTCCCGCAGGGACGGGGGAAGGGTGGAAAGCACCAACACTTACTCTGACAAAGCTCGCAGGGAACCAGGCCTCCTTATCCTCGCTCCGGCCCCACCACCAGTCCTTGTTGGAGGCTTCCAGCACCTGGATGACGTCGCCCGCCTTGAAGCCCAGTTCCTGGTCGTCCATGGTCACATGGTCCCACAGCGCTTCTGCACAGACCACGCTGCCATCGCTGATCAGCTGAATGAGACAGGCAGGCACGCTCAGTGTGCAGTCGGGGGTGAAGGGGCGGGGGCGGGGGGTCTGTGTGCTGTCTCAGGTGAGATGCGTATCTCCTAGATCTCAGTTGTGTACACCAGTGGCTTTGGGTCAATACCCACTGACTATTACACAAAATGAACGAAGAAAACCATATTAGGGAAAAGAAAAATCAGGTGAGCCTCTCTCACATGATCTTAAAGGAAATCCCAAATCCACTTTTTAAAAAATGTATGACTAGCTCACTTATCTGTAGATCAGTTAACGAACAAATCTGAATGTCTCGAACATTCACCCGAGAAATGGTTTCCGAGCTGCCAAGCAAGACCCCGCCGAGCCAAGCCTCCCAGGATCAGGCACATGCTTGACCGCAAGACCTCAGCGTCACCCAGAACATAGTATTCTTGCTTTATTCACAATTTGAATAAGCTTTGTATGTATCTTTATGGTTTACTGCAGTCACAGAGAACACAGCATGAGCTCTGGAGGTCCAACAGTCAATAATGCAAGTAAAGAGCAGACCGCTCCTGAGTCTACCGCAGGGGCAGATGACATCCATCGGCCGGCTCCTGGGGTCTCCGTCGTATTCTAGAGCAACGCTAGGCGCCGTTAAAGGGACACTAGCTCTGTGCAGAACTCCCAAAGCTGGCCGTGCCTTCTGGCAAGGCTCAAGATACAGACTGGTAGAAAGAATACGACTCTCAGTGAGAAGCACGTGGTTAACGTCATTTACCAGTGAGTCGTTAAGCCTCTTAATTTCAGAGTGTTGATTAAAATATGGACAATGACTGTTCACATGATCTCTCAGATGGGCTGTGAGATTTCTGATAACGGGAGCACACGCCAGAAACCGAACGGCACTGCCTGGTGCTGCTCTGGTCACGCCAAGGGAGGAACTGACTCACGCAAGTCGTCCTTGAAAATGCCAGAAACGCAGTGTTTGTTTAGTCAAAATTCTAGGTTTTAGGATACGTGTAGCAGGAAATAATCAGAGAGCAAGGTCGGGAGTGATGCTGGCCCCTCAAGACCGGGCGCCCACCAGTCATGTCTGGGACCCCAGTACCTCGTTGATGGCCAGCTGCTCCCCGCCGGGCTGCAGGTATCTGGGGTTGGCCTGACAGAGGTCTTCATAGCTGTAGTCCTCCTCACTGCCGTTGTCGTCCACTAAGGCAGAGGACTCAGTACCTCCATCTGAAGAAACTAAAAATGTGATGGCATGGTTTAAAAGACAAACATTGTTAAATGACAAAATAACTGATGATAGAGAACACACACATCCTGCAAGAGAAAATATTCATTTTTATCTTACCCAGAGTAAGGAATCATTAGAAAGTTTCTACTGACCTACGAATCCAAAGGTAGTAGTTAATGCTACAAAGAGCTGGGGTTAAGTGTCGCATTAAGAAGGGGAACATTTCTCCCGGCTGGTGTGGCTCAGTGGTTGAGCGTCGACCCATGCACTAAGAGGTCACTGATTCGATTCCCGGTCAGGACATATACCCAGGTTGTGGGCCCGATCCCCAGTGGGGGGCATGCAGGAGGTGGCCAATCGATGTTCTCGCTCATCGATGTTTCTCTCTCTCTCTCTCTCCCTTCCTCTGTCTCTCTAATATATCAATAATGAAAAAAATATATTTTTTAAAAAGAAGGGGAACATTTCAGAGACTACTGCCAACATGAACACACAGCGTTATTTCATGAGTTAGGATACTGAGTGAACTATGTGTGACTTAGTTGAAAATTTGTACTGCAAGTGGATATCAAAAATATAAATATAGCCCGGCCAGTGTGGCTCAGTGGATTAAGCATCATCCCACAGACTGAGAGGTCCTGGTTCGATTCCTGGTCGGGGCACGTGCCTGGGTTGCAGGGGGTGCCAGTAGGGGGCGTGCAGTAGCCGATTGATGTTTCTCTCTCATACTGATGTTTCTCTACCTCTCTAAAAAGTCAACAAAAACAAATAATGCTTCTAAGCAATGTGTTAATAAAACTTGAGGAGGAGAAGGAAATAAGAAAAATAATCCTTTTTCAAAAGCCTTCTGCTTCCATCTTTTACCTGGAAGGCAGCAGCACTGCAAACCAACAGGGCCTAGTACATCACTCAGTGGAAACAGGTCGTCGTTTTGACTAGTTTTCCATATGTGAAAGGGTTGGAACTCACAGTATCAGAATTGAGAATTTACCAAAAAAGAGAGAAAGAACTTTTAAGGATGGGTATAAAATTTTGGATTAACCACCTTATATTTAGATTCTTTTTTCTTGGGACAGTGGGCTAATCTGTCCCTGAGCGAAGGGAATTTAATGAACAACAGAATATTCCTTGTGAAGACGGGGACGGCTTCCCGGAATGAAACCTGGCTGGATCTGAGGCACACGGATGTGGACAGCAGTCCATCGGCTAAAAGATGGGACCGGAAGAGCAGGGTGGGAGGGCCCTGCGGGGGCTTCGGGACCTGGCGCTGGCAGTGGGGTGCACTTTTAGGTGGAGTAGGGGAGTGACAGGTTTCGAATAGAGGTCTCCTGACTCCATAGAAAGAACAAGGTGTAGAGTCCCCGAGGCCTGGTGTGAACTTCAGCCCTGCCCCTCCAACGGCATGAGACCCCAACCAAGCAACGTCATCTCTCTGCGCTTTATATTCTTCTGTGGAAAACATGTTTTCTTTCTTTTTGGAGAATTAAGTGAGATCATGTGTGTTGAGCTCCTCGCATTCTGATTCATAGTTGGAACTCACTGGAAGAGCATTACTGTGGTGATGGCAGTGAGCATGGCGGGAGCAGGCCGGGGGCAGAGGCCAGGTCGGGACACCAGAGGGGGTGCAGTTGACTGGACAGAGTAGTACGGAAGTGCTGCACCCAGGGCATGGCCACAGGGCATGAAATTCAGAACGCCGTGCAGGTCAAGCTGATGTCTGGAGCAACAAAGACGATGAAGTCAACAAGGATTCGAAAAATCCCAAGTTGCTGGGAGAATTAATAAGCAAAGGGGGTCAGGGAGAAGCCAGTGTGGTGAGAAGGGTGCACGCTGATTTGGGGTGCAGTGGGAGGGAGCTGCCCTCGCTTCTACGGATTCTGAATTTCTAACACCTTACTATTCGGGGACAGGTCTACTTCCTAAACAGAAGAATTTTTTTTCTTTACAAATACTTTTAAAAAAATCCTCACCTGAGGTTAGGTTTTTATTGATTTTGGAGCGAGGGGGATATCGATTTGGTTGCCTCCCGTATGCACCCCAGCCAGGGATCAAACCCGCAGCTAAGGCATGTGCCCTGACTGAATCGCACGGGACCTTTTGGTGTGTGGGATGATGCCCAACCAACTGAGCCACACCGGCCAGGGCAGAACAACTTTCTTTTTTAAATGACGTTTTCTATTCTTTGTTTTGTACTAAGTCTTCGAACCCCGATGTGCATTTTACACGCACAGCCCGTCCCTCTGGACGGGCCCCACTTCAGGGGCTCCACACCATGGCCAGCCCGCCCGTGCCCCGAGCTCTGCAGCCCAGGCCCTCACAGCTGCCGCCTTCCCCAGCACTTCGGCTGTGCTGTTGCTGTGACCACCTTTTCAAAAGCAACATGTTTGATCAAAAGAGCCTAGAATTCTCGCACTAACACAGCAAAAACTATCGAAAAAGACTTGCAACAACGGAGGGTAATAAACATTGTGACAATGAGCTCTATGGATTGATTTCAAGCATCGGATTCTTCTTTTCCTCGCGAGCACAGACAGGACCACGATGCTGAGACACGGGGAGCACGTGGAGCGCGGCATGGGAAGACGGCGGCCCCCACTCTCCCCTCGATGCCCGTCCTCTGTGCCTGAGCTCTGCACAGCGCACGTCCTGGGGATGCCCAACAAGCCAGGTCTCCGCCAGGGCCCAGGCTGTACACGTGCTCTCCTGAGGCCTGGGGTGCTCCTCTGCACCTGGAAACCCCACGCCCCAGCTGGGGGCACCTCCTCTTCAGAGCTGTCCCCCATCCTTCCTTCTACGGCAGCACCTGCACGGTGAAGCCGAACCCACCAGTCACACATCCGTGTCCCGGCGAGGCGAACGGTGGTCTGTTCACAGCTGGGACGGTCTGACAGTCAGTCAATCCGGGATGTGCTGGTGACTAGGCAGCTGAGCGGTGCTGGGGGGGGGGGGCGTTGCAGGCAGGCGGGCAGCAGAGCCAGCTGTGTGTGCCCACACATGTCAGGCCCTCTCGGCTAATGCCACCCGCCCTCAGGGGGCGTCCCTCAGAGCACAAAGCTGGTGCTCCTGTGGCCCAGGGGTTGGGGGGGGGGATCTTGAGACACGCAGGCCGCCTGCCTGAGCAGGGTGACCTCTGCCTCCGGGGCCGCGGGGAGTGCTGCAGGCGGAGAACACGAGGTCGCCTGGTCCAGTGCCCTTTCCTGTGTGTGTCTGCGTGGGGGTGGGGAGGGCTCGAGGAAGCAAACGTACATCTTTCTGAAGGCACTCATTCTCTTAGACTACAGAGGACATAACACTGAAGCCGAAAGTCTCTGGCTGGAGTCCTCGGCGCCCCAGGGATCCCGGGTGAGGAGGACAGACACAAACCCCTGGGCGGCCAGGGGCCCAGAGTGGCGGGACTCCGCCAGCATCAGCGAGCGCCGACCTACACAGCCCGGCACCAAGGGCATGGCTCCTACGACAGGTCAGCAGTGGTTGGCCCGAGGCAGCGACGCTCAGGAACACAGGTGTCTGGGCCTCTTGCCCACAGCAGAGCCCTGGAAATGACACGTTCTCCCTCAAAGACCCATGAACAGTGTTTTCCTAAGGAGAATTCCATGCCATTGGATCTGGCGGGTGCTGTGACAATCGGTAAAGAAATATAAAAGCCAGCAGTGATCATGCGCACGTCCGCAATTCGCAAGGGGGTGCTGGAAGAAAACTATTTGGAAAGAGATACGGACTTCACATACTGAATGATCTCGGACTTGCTATCGTAAACACTGAGAAAAATGGCTCGGGCTGAGGCGCTTCCTAAGATTTCAACAGTGAATGTTTCAACACCACAGATAAGAATTTGCTGAGGACGGTGGAAGCCAGAGGGTTCCGAGTGCAGGGGCCAGCCAGGTGGGGCAGGAGGCCGGTGTGGGACAGGATGTGGACAAGGGAAAGGCTACGGACATTAACAGAAAACACCTGGCCTTAGAAACTTTCCAGCTAAATGACCTTGGGGCAAGTCACTTTATCCTCTTCCAACCTCAGTTTTCCTATCTGTAAAATGGGATTAAGTTTAAATGGGCTCTCTTTAGAGGCCATTCTTTTAAAAAAATTTTTATTCCTTACCAGAGGATACTTTTCTATTTATCATCAGATAGAGTGGGAGGGAGGAAAAGAGAGAGAGAGACAGAAAGAAACAATCATAGGGCTGGGGAGGAACCGCAACTAAGGCACGTGGCCTTGACCGGAATCGAACGTGTGACTCATTGGTCTGCAGGCCGACGCCTAACGGCTGAGCCAAGCCGGCCAGGGCCTCTGCCATTCTTTTTCTTCTGCCTCTCACATCCCATGTCCAAGTCATCGGCAAATTCTACTCTTCCTTCAGAATGAGTCCAGAATGCAGCCACTTCTCACCCCTCTCCCGCTGCTCGAGCCTTGATCACCTCGAGTTCGGTCACGCCCGCAACACCTTACTGGCCTCCCTGTCCCTGTCCTACAATTCTCATTGAGGCGGCCAGAATGATAATGCTAACCCAGTCAGAAGTTGGGTCATTCGTTCCGGGGCATCCGCAGTGGAGAAAGCCCAAGTCTTTGAAGACTACCTCCAGCCCCGGCCCTGCCCACCAACACCGCATCGCTCACCCCCTCGCGGGCTCCGCCTGCTGGCCGCCTGCTTTATACACCAGGCACCCCTCGCTCGGCCTGCCGCTCCGGCACCGGACACCCTCCCCCAGCACACAAACCATAAGCAAGTCCTTCCCTGACCATCGAATGCAACACTGCAACTCTGACCCCACCCAGTCCTCCTTCCTGGTTTACTTCCCCAGAGCATGTACCACCATCTAACGTATTGTGTTCGTGGTCTGCCCCCCAACTAAAATGTCAACTACAGAAAACAGTGATTTTTGTCTGCTTTGTTCTTTTTCTTTCATCCGCACCTGAGGATGAATAGACAGTGGTCCCCGCCACTTCGCCTTCCACTTTCGCGGCTTCACTCTATCGGGGTTTTTACAAATATATTCATTAAAAAGGTGAT